CCCCCCGGACTTTCTTCCCCTCCCCCGACACACACCGGGACTATGCCGATATTTTTCCTATTATTACAAATGTACATGTATAAAAATACTCTCCACAAACACTGAATGGTATTAGAACAGAAAAATATAAAATCATTCCAATGACATACAATATATTGCTGAGACAACCAGCAGAGGGCAGTATTGTGTCAGTGGCCCCGGGACCCACGGGAGAAAATCTTCAAATCAATGAACACATATCGGTTCTCTGGGGTGTGAAATCCCAATGTGTCCCCTTCACCCCGGCGGGGCCCGGCAGGGTTGGGGCCCCTCGCTGGTCTTCAGTCATTGCTTTGTGCTTCCTGTTTTTTTGGATGAAGTGACTTCATTTCTTGTGACAACTTTCGGCAGTTTCAGTGAATTCCTGAAAATGAAGAACGCTTTATATTTGGCAGTGATCCGGCTAATGCTGTAAACGGTGCAGACGCACCCCCCCCACCCCCACCCCCACCACACACACGCGCGCGGCGGGGGATGGGGGCGCTTGGACTTTGGCAACACTTGAAACATGTCGTAGTGAAGTGCGGTCTCCTCCGTCTCAGTGCGCGACGTTACTCCGCGAAGCTTCTTCCCGGCGCCAAGACTCAGATGATGAAGGAAGATTTGTGGCGGAAATCCCCCTGGAAGAGATCGGAAGGTCAGAGTCGCGGTACTGAGCGCGTCGCATCATTCACCCGATGGAGGGAATCCTGCCATTCACCCGCTATGTATGTGGCCCTTGTGGCCCCTACTCTGGCCCATAGGGAATCCTGCCATTCACCCGATATCATGCTCTGTGTGTGGCCCTTGTGGCCCCTAGATCTTTATTTCCTCAGCCAATGAATGAGGTCATCCTGAGGTGTCACGGTGTGGAAGCATGCACACGCAACGCATTTACAGCGTCCACCTGATAACGCCACATGTTTGGCTGCACAATGTGATAGGATGACTGCAGGTCCACCCCCCCCGTGTCACATCACTCCACCCCTTTAAAGGAGAACTCCGAGGTCAGGGCTTTCCCCCATAGTTCTCCTAAGGGTAACAGGAGGACACAAACTAGCGTCCTCCCATCACCCTAAGCTCAGTATATAGGGAGCTACAGCTCGCGGTATACTGAGACGCCGCAGCGGATCCCGACATCGATGTCGAGATCCGCCCAGCTGCGTGAGTGAAAGCTGGCTCTGCCTATCTAGAGGCAGAGCCAGCTGTACCCGCCCCCTCCCCCGTCCGTTCCGCCAGTCAGCGCTGGAGGAGCGGGGAGGGAGGAGGAATCCCTGCAGGGAGAGTATCAAGAGGTGAGCGAGCGCCGGTATGTGTTCGCTCACCTCCCGATCTCCTGAGCCGACCTGCGACAGTCTCATTGTCACCCCCTCCCCCTCATAGTTCTCCTTTAAGGTTTCAGACTTTACTGGCTGCATGCTTGCTTCATTCCACTGATTTACTAATGGAAAGGAGACGATGGGCGCCCCGGATCATGGAGTGGCCCCGGATCATGGAGTGGCCCCGGATCATGGAGTGGCCCCTCTCATACTTCTATTCTACGCGTCCGCCTGGTACCGCTGCCATTGGGTTGTAGTATTATATGGCCGGCCTCGGCTCACACCGCACTCTGTCCAATGAATCCGAGACCATGCCGACTACTGCATGTGACCTATAACACGCAGACAGATCGTGTGACCTATAACACGCAGACAGATCGTGTGACCTATAAACACGCAGACAGATCGTGTGACCTATAACACGCAGACAGATCGTGTGACCTATAAACACGCAGACAGATCGTGTGACCTATAACACGCAGACAGATCGTGTGACCTATAACACGCGGACAGATCGTGTGACCTATAACACGCATGCAGATCATGTGACTTATAACACGCAGACAGATGAACATTACATGACCCCCCCCGGGGAATGAAGAGCCAACACGGAACCAGAATAGTGCAGCGCGCTCGCTCACCTCATCGTTGGACCGCAGGTAGTTCAGCGCGTCGGGCTTCACAGGATTCTTGTAGCTGAGGGAAAAGGAGAATGTCGTCATTATACTTCATATAGACCAGCGTGCTGGCAGACCAGAACCCCCGTAACATACAAGATCAACATTGTCATTTCATAATATGAGATCTCTCCTCCCCTTCCAGCAATTCCCCCGGGGGCGAGGGGCCGGGTACAGGCTGGAGACGCTGCTCTCAGTATTTGGCATGGCTCCTCTGCCAGGCTGGAGACGCTGCTCTCAGTATTTGGCATGGCTCCTCTGCCAGGCTGGAGACGCTGCTCTCAGTATTTGGCATGGCTCCTCTGCCAGGCTGGAGACGCTGCTCTCAGTATTTGGCATGGCTCCTCTGCCAGGCTGGAGACGCTGCTCTCAGTATTTGGCACGGCTCCTCTGCTGACAACGTGAAGGGACTTTTGTCCTCTCGGCATCGGATGACAAGCAGGAAGGTGTCATGGGTCATTCATCCGAGAACTCACCTTTGTCCGCTGCTTCTAGTGCTGCTGGAAAAGTAACCTTTCCGATAGGCACAACAAATGCCAACGGTGATCAAGACCAGCACCACCACCACCACCAGGATCCCTCCAACAATGCCGCCAATGTTCAGGTCATCTAAAAAATCAAGACAAAGCTCAAATTATCAAATCCACTAAACGGGACCCAACCCAAGGCTTCATGGAGGTCACCCTGCTTCATGGAGGTCACCCTACTGCATGGAGGTCACCCTGCTTCATGGAGGTCACCCTGCTTCATGGAGGTCACCCTACTGCATGGAGGTCCCCCTGCTTCATGGAGGTCACCCTGCTTCATGGCGGTCACCCTATTGCATGGTGCATGGAGGTCACTCTGCTTCATGGAGGTCACCCTACTGCATGGCGGTCACCCTGCTTCATGGCGGTCACCCTACTGCATGGAGGTCACCCTGCTTCATGGAGGTCAATCTGCTTCACGGCGGTCACCCTGCTTCACGGCGGTCACCCTGCTTCACGGCGGTCACCCTGCTTCACGGCGGTCACCCTACTGCATGGAGGTCACCCTACTGCATGGAGGTCACCCTGCTTCATGGAGGTCACCCTGCTTCATGGCGGTCACCCTATTGCATGGTGCATGGAGGTCACTCTGCTTCATGGAGGTCACCCTACTGCATGGCGGTCACCCTGCTTCATGGAGGTCACCCTACTGCATGGCGGTCACCCTACTGCATGGAGGTCACCCTACTGCATGGAGGTCACCCTGCTTCATGGAGGTCACCCTACTGCATGGCGGTCACCCTACTGCATGGAGGTCACCCTGCTTCATGGCGGTCACCCTGCTTTATGGAGGTCACCCTGCTTCATGGAAGACATAATGGGGGGAGGCAGTGTGCGAGGGGACGACGTTCCCCTAAGGTGTAAGTTCATGCTGAGCTAGAAATCAGCCCCCCATTCCCTCAGGGCCGTCTCCTCATTGATTGGCCGATGCCGATCCACCAACCGGCTCACTCGGGGTCCAGGGGTGCCATGACTTTCTGTACGTTCCCTACAAAGCTGACACTGATCTCTGCCCTGAGCCCTTCCATGGAATGTGATGGCGGCACACGTCTAATGGCACATATATGACAACGATGGCCCTTCCATGGCAGGCGGAGGAAACATTTCTATGGCACACGCCGGGACCCCATCCATCTCCTCCCCCGGCTCGCCGTTCGCATTGACAACGGGGGATGGGTGACGTGTACAACTTACACACTTCCATGAGCTGAGAGTCGCACTGGGCGGAGCCGGCGGCGTTACTGGCTATGCAGTAGTATTGCCCCATGTCTCCTTTATTGACCGCGGCGAATACCTGCAAAACACGCGCGGAGAACGTCAGATCGTTGTAGCCAAAAGTTTCATCATCCTAAACACGGGACTCTCCCCCAATCTCTGCCATCAACCCCCCTCCCTCAAATACCGACTACCCCACCGCTCCACACATAACCCTTTCCCCCAAACCCTCAGGCCCCATTCACATTGAGCGATTCGCAAATCGTGCGTTTGTCGTGCGATTTGCCTTTTGAGCGATATCGTGCAAATGGTTGCATTGAGCAAGCTAGAATCGCGGCAAAAAAGGGTCCTGCTGTAGCGACCCGCGACAGCGACGGACAGAGCCCCATTGCCATGCATTGGAGAACGATATCGCAGGAATTAGCGCGCGATAAATCGCTCAGTGTGAATGGGGCCTCATACTCCATCTTATACCGATATACCAATCCCTCCCATCCAATCCAACCCCTCCCCGGGCCCGACCGTATTTTGCGCTCTACAAGTCCTCATTCACACTGCCGCGCGTACGTACGTATTGTACCATACGCAACACATGCAAATAAATGGCTCCATACACACAGCCGCGCATGGAGCCGTATGCATGCGCAAAAACAGAATGGAAACGAGATGCGTCCGGGCAACGTATCTCTGCGTATTTACGCGCGCGCATTAAAATTCCATTACGAGCGATGCGTTCTGGGATTGCATAGAGTGCGCGCATAGACGCTCCTATATACAATTCTGCTTGCGTTGTGTGTGAATGAGGCCTGAGGCCCCATTCACACTGCGCGATCTGCATTTCGCGCGACATCGCGCAAATGGTTGCATTGCAAAGAATGGAATCGCGGCAAAATCCGCTCCAAAAAGGGTCCTGCTGTAGCGACGCACGAACCGCGACAGCGACGGACAGAGCCCCATTGCCTTATATTGGAGCGCGGTAAATCGCTCAATGTGAACGGGGCCTAACGCACGCCGGACCATGGGACGCAGGGAGGGTTCTGTGACAGCTGCAGTTAGTCACAGCGCCGCGGTCTCAGTAATCGCACGGACGTTCTTCGTCTGCTCTAGAGGCTCTATGGTGAGCTCCTACGCCGTGGTCACGGGTCCCCCCCCCAGAGGAGCGGGGGGACCCCGAAAACCACGGTGGTGGTGGGGGCGGACGCGATCGCCGCTCGATTTGATACAAGCGATCTAATTAAACGAGCGGCGGCTCCCACGGTACATTCGGCTCTGCTTGTCCGGAGCCGGGCTAAAACTACTCGCCCGGCGCCCGAAACTGCACGTCCCGGCGCGTTGGGCGACAGGGATTCGCTCCATAAGACGCACAGACATTTTTGCACCTTTTGGGGGGAAAAAAGCGCGTCTTATGAAGCGAAAAATACGCTATATATATAAAAACACAGCAAATGTCAATAATCGTATCCTTGCGCGTCTGTATTGGGGGCCACAATCACAGATAGGAAAGTACAGACCCGGGGCCAGGGGAGGAGTCTGCAGCACCCCGTGTATTGCACCCGCGATGCTCTGTCTGTGGCTGCGATGCTCTGCAGGCCCCAATGCATTTCTGTTATTATTGTGTTTTCATTCTCTCAGAAGGCCGAGACAGCGTGACATCA